ACCCCATGTTGCACTGGGGTCCCCTACAATTGTCAGGAGAATCATCATATGGTCCATACCGGGCAGGGTTCTCATGGTTGCCCGCCACAGAAATGAACTCCGGCTAACTGATGTAGAAAATGAATTCCTTACTTAGATGAGGTGGCGGGGAGGTGGGATTGCACAATCAACCGGAGGGCTGGAGGACAGGCCCAGAAAACAGCAACCCGAGGAGACTGGTGGCCCAGAACGCAGCGGAGAATGCAGCCCAGGTCAGGCCCCAAGAGCTGTCTGTGGGGGCTGATACTTTCCATAATGTCTAAACTATTCTAAACTATTTCTAAACTCTGTGACTCTCCAGGGCCAACACTGAGAGTGGCACTTCTGATTGGCCAGCCTAGGCCACGTGACAGGACCTTGACGGACCTTCCCTTTAGCTGTTGCAATTAAAGCTGAGCCTGGTCCCTCCCTTACCTTATACAGTGGGGCGCACTCCTGGCCCCCACCCAGTAGGAGAGGGGTTTCACGGTGCTGGGGCCTGGGCGGTGAACATCTGTGTGGTTCTTTACTACTGTCAACGTGCTTTCACACTCCGCCCCTGGAGGAAGGCTGGCCAGGCTCCAGAAACCTGAGCTCAGAGAGGTTAAGCGATTAGTCTAAAACCACATAAGGGGTGAGAGGTGTCTCTTCATCACACTCATCCCCCTTCCTCCATGCTGCAGGGGCTTGGAGAGGGGCAGATATTTTCTAAGGAAAGGGGGGTGGGGAGAACCCCAAGAGGTGTGGGTGGGCAGCCCTGAAATGCTTTGACGGAGGGCAACCCCAGCCAAGGAGAAATGCTAACATTCCGGGCATGAATTCAGCTGGTCCAGAGGACGGAGGCTGGGTGGGTTCTTTCCCCAGCTTCGAGTCTCCTGCAGATGCCTTCAGCTCCCTTTGGCTGCTCCTTGTGCAGAACAGCAGCCCTGCTATTCACCTCCAGAATCATCTTTGCTCCTGCTGTTGCCTCCACCTGGAAAGCCATTCGGCTTTTGCTGCCTGAGGAACTCCTGATCATTGCAGCAAAACCAGCTCTGAGGTCTCCTTGTCCAGGCAGCCTTTCTGGGTGTCACTTTGCTCCCCTTTGGGCTACCTCTCTGCTTTGCCCCTTGATTATAATTGATTTCTATGTCTGCCTCTCTCTTAGACTGGGAGTGCCTCAAAGACAGGGACTGGACTTTATTCACATCTGTGTCCCCAAGGCACGGTGCTGGCTTGTTCCCCTCACAGCCACGCCCTGCTGCAACCCTCAAGCTCCAGGGTCTGCTGGCTTCTGGCTGGCGTCAACCAAAGGGAGGCCCTAGTGGGAGGCCAGAGGGCTGGAGGAAGGGAGAAACCAGGACATCTCTTCTTCACACTAGGCCTTAAGCCGTGTTTGGACAGTAGCGAGATCCTCAGCCCCCACCAGACATGTCCACTGAGGTTCCATCTTCCACTGGGTGACCCTGAGCCTGGTGACACTGCTTCCTCTTTTTGTCCCTCCGGGTCAGGGGTAATACAGCAACTTCTTGCTGTTGCTGCTGACGTCTGGCTTACCTTGCCATCCCCTGTTTGAATTCTCAGCTCTTTCCTCGCTATGTGGCCAAATTCGCTTTATGGGCTGGTTGCACCACGAAGGACATCCCAGTTCCTAGCATAGAGGTCCTATGAAAAGAATTATGGTGCCCACATCAGAGGAGATGATGGTCTCTGTGAGCTCAGTGCTTTTTTTTTTTTCACGTGTAAAATGACTACAGACAGTTTGGGGAGTCAGCTTAAGACAGATGGTAGCAAACCAGAAAGAAAGGTTTTAGGATTGAAGAATCTCTGAAGAACACCTCTCCTAGCACTTTCATTTTATGAATAAGGAACATGAGGTGAAGAGGGGTCCAGTGTCCATCCAGCTAGTGAGCAGTCTTGCATTCAGAACCCAGAACCCCCCACTTCTGGCTCCATCACCTTGTCTAAAACGTGACTACCTGAGACCTACCATAGCTCCAGTCCCGCCCTTTCCCCTCAAGCCCCAGGCTCACGTGTCCAATGGGCTGCTTGACATCTGGGCTCCGTCATGGCATAAGCCTCTCACTCACCACGTGCTCATCCCGCCCCTCCCCCTGCCGTGGTGGCCTTCCTCCGGCAATCCCCATCTCAGGGAACAGCACCCTGTCCATCTGCTTCCACAAGCCAGAAACTGGGGTCTCCTTGACATCTACCTCTATGCCACCCCATGATGGCTCCCTCTCCTGGTTCTGTGGATTTTTTACCTCCTGAATACCGCTTCTCTCCACTTCTGTCACTACCACCCCGGTCCCAGTCTCTGTCACCTGGACAGCCGTGATGGGCGACAGAAATGTGAGTTCTGGGAGGGCAGGGATGTGTGTGCATGTGCATGCCTGTGCACACACGTTTGCATTTTGTTCACTGACATATCCTAAGTGTCTAGATTCACTGGGGTCAGCCAACCTTCTCTGTAAAGGGCCAAATAGTAAATATTTTAGGTTTTGCAGGCTGCACAGTCTCTGTTCAACCCTTTGACTCTGCAGCTGTAGTTAAAGGGAGCTGTAATTCGATGGGCGTGTTTGTGTTTCACTATAGCTTTATTTACAAGAAAATGGGTAGCAAGATGGATTGGACCTGAAGGCTGCAGTTTACTTACCCCTGACCTAGAAAAGTTCCTGGCACATAGATGATAAGAAAAAACATTTTTTAAAGATTTTATTTATTTATTTGACAGAGAGAGAGAGACACAGCGAGAGAGGGAACACAAGCAGGGGGAGTAGAATAGGAGAAGCCGGCTTCCTGCAGAGCAGGGAGCCCGATGCAGGGCTCGATCCCAGAACCCTGGGATCATGACCTGAGCCAAAGGCAGACGCTTAACGACTGAGCCACCCAGGTGCCCCAAGAAAATATTTTTAATTGGTCTCTTATCATCTATTGCCTCCCAATTAATTTCCCATTTTTCCAATCATAAATCAGATCATGGCACTCCCATCCCTCAACTTCCACCCCAACCACCTGCTTCCAAACCTCTACTCTTAGGATAAACATCAAACTCCGATGAAGGCCAACGTGCACTGAACAGTCTGGCCCCCGCTCCCACACTAGCTTTACATGCTCTCAGCACTCCAGCTCTCTGGCCCTCCTTCACTCCCTCAAGATGCCAGCTCCCTACCACCACAGGGCCATTGTGTGTGCTGTTTCTCCTGCCTAAGACTTTCTCTCTCCTTTGCTCATCCTACAGATCTCAGCTCAGTGTTACCTCCTCCAAAAAGCCTTCCCCGATCCCCTACGCCAGGTGCCATTAAAGCACTCGTCTTTCAAAGCACTGATGCTGGCTGAAGTTTTACCTGTTTCTATGTTTCATTGACCAATGTCTGGTTCCCCCATTAGAAGAGCTCCTCCACCAGGCGCAAGGACCAAGCCTGTCTTGTTCCCCATCGTTTTCCCAGAACCTATTTCAGTTAGCACAGAGTAGCAACTGTGAATGAATGAGTGAATGGTAAAGATTCTGGGTTCAACGCCTAATTCTACCACATGGGCAAGTCACTCACCTCCCTGAAGCCCGTTTTCTTACTGTAAAACCAGGCTAATGACAGGACCTGCCAGAAAGGCTGTGTTGAGGATAGAAGAGTTGAGTCTCAGCCCAGAACCTGGCTCCAGGCAGCCATTGTCAGTATGCTGACTGTGATGGTGACAGGTCCAGAAATCGTGTCATATGATAAACAGTTCAAAGAATTCAGAATGTTTAGTCTGGTAAAGTAGAGATCAAGGTCAAGGAATGCCCCTCTTCAGCTACAACACCTGAATCAAATAGGACTCCTCCCCAATCCGGGTGTCTGAAAAAGTCATGAAGTCTCCATCCCATAGGTGTGCAAAAAGAAACTGGGAGACCATTACTGCAGAAGGGTGTACTGCATAAGCAAGGGTGTTCAGGTGACCTCAAGGCCCTCTTCCAATCCGGGGTCCTCCATTTGTAAGCACGTGGGGGCATTCTGAGCTCGAATGAGGGAGAGGGCGCAGGTGGGAGCACACGACTGGTGCGGGCCAAGGCAGCCGGCTGAGCCAAGCGCGGCCAAGCTGCCTCAAGGACTTAGAGGGACCGAGCCCCACTCGGTGCTCCGCGATTCTGGGAGCAGAGAGGGGGCGCTTAAAGCCAACAGATGGCGCAGGCTCACCTAGGCCGTGTGCCGGCTTACTCGCTCCGGCTTCCAGGAGCATGTCCCCCGGTTGGGCCCGAGGCGCGGAGCCGGCAGGTGCCGGCCGGGCCGCCACCCCTCTGCGTGCCCCTCTCCGGGAGGGCGGGCGGCCCTGCGGGGCAAGGCTCCAGTACGCACCTGGGGCCGCTTCCGCGGGCGTCCTCCCTGGCCCTTGGGGGGATTCGTCGAGTTGCCACAGCAGCCGGTGCCATGACATCGGCAGAGGGCAGCTTCGCCAGCACTGAAATATTCATGCCCTGAGCGCCCGGCCGGGCTCGGCCGCGGCTCCCGGGGACCGGAGCGGGGCCCGGAGCGGGGCCCGGGTCCGGGCCACCGCGATCCCCGCGCGCAGGGTGGAGGGGGTGGGCGGGGAGGCGCGGCCCGGCCGGCGGGGGCCGGGGGGGAGGGAGCGCGGAGAGGAAGCGTCAGGAGGCGGGGTCTGGGTGGCGGGGGCCGAGTGGGGCGGAGGAAGCGAGGGAAAGTTGATCGCAGACTTGAGCGGCGGCAGCGGCTCTGGAGAGAGGGGCGCGGGCTGTGCGGCGCGATGCTCCGCGAGAAGACGCGTCCGACGGCGGCCGGGCGCTGAGCCGGGCGGGGCGGGGCGGGGCGGGGCGGTCCCGGGCATGGAGCGCGGGAGTGCAGAGCCTCGGGACGTTTGGGGCGCGCCTCGTCCGAGCCCGCGGCGCGCCTGAAGTTGCAGGCGGCCAGCGGCGGGCGGCGGGCGGCGGGCGGCCGGCCCAAGGGGACGCTGGAGAGGCCGGCGTGCCGCGGGTGAGCCTTCGCGCGAGCGGCGAGACGCGGCGGTGGCCAGCAGCGGAGCAGGCGGCCCGTGGGGGCCGACCCGGAGGAGAGCAGAGCCGGAGGCGCGACGCGGCGCTTCCCCGCACCCGCACACGGTACCGAGAGCCGCGCACCTCCCCTTCCCTCCCCGCTTCCCTCGCCTTCTCCGCACCGTTCGCCCGCCACGAGCCGGGAAAGTTGGAGCCGTGGGGTCGCGACCGCAGCCGCCGAACCACTTGCTCCCGGCACGGCCATCGCCCGTGGCGAGCACCCGGGGGCCTCCTTCCATCCCCGGCCCCTGGCCCGGGTCGGGCGCCCGGCTCGCAGCCAGCGGCCAGACGCGCGGCAACTTTGATTCCCGGGAACTCGAATTCTCGCCGGGTTGGCCTCGGGAGGACAGCCACTGTACTCCCCACCCGGTTCCTGGACATTCGGTCGCTTTGCTCTCCGCGCCTTAGAGAGGGTCTGGTTGGGTCTGGGGTGGGGAGAATTTCGGCGGTAAAGAGGGTGTTGGGATCCCAATCCTGTCCCCTTCTGCGCTCTGGGTCCCCATTTGGACAGTGGAATGGGGTGGGGCGCACCGCCACCGGGGATGGGCATTGGCGCTGGAGGAACCTGCAGTCACGTAGCTCTCCCCTACCCTCATCACCTCTCGGTGCCGGCGAGAGACCCCAGAGGACCCTCGCAACCTCCCCAAACCGATCAGGCTTTGGGAAAACGCACCCCTCGCGGAGCAGGGAGCCTTGTGCAGCTTGCACTTTGCTTCCCCAGTCAGTCCCCTGGCAGGCCCACCACCGACGGTGCTGGCTGGCCCTGGAGGCCTGCGCTCGGGATGGCTGGCCCCCATCTCCCTTGCAGGTCAGCCCGGGACGCGTGCAAACCGCGCGCGTTCCAAGGTGGTGGCAGCATCAGCCGGCGAGCTCTGGGTTCCTTGCCTTCCCGAAGCGAGCACCTAGAGTCGCTGCCTCTGTGCTCAGAGCGGACCGAGATTGAGATTCAGTGCCATCGCCTCTGGCCACCGCCCCACTGCGACCCCAACCCCCAGCCCTGGTGCTGTCAGTGGCCCACTGGGGGGAAATAAGCCTTTTCTGAGTAGTAACACGCCCCTAACCCTCCCCAGTAATTCAGAAAACAGCTCCCGTCCCTTCTGCGTACTTTGCCTTCTTGGACGGGAGCAGGCATTGACCCTTGCCGTTCAGGCGATTAGCAAGAGCCCCCCACCCCAATGTGTATTTTGAAATAAGCAGGAGAGGCACATGAGGATTGTGTGTGTGTCCCCCGCGGGCGTATTGGGTGGAGTCAGACCCTTGAGTGGGTGGGGGTGGGCCTGAAGAGCCATGTTTGGAGCCAGGTGCGAGGTGCTGATGAGTCAGCCCCTGGTGGGGAGAACTAGCTTGGAGTTATTTTTGGGTCATGGTGCATGGGTAGGCGCACTGCGGGTAGCACCGGTTGGGCTGGGTGACTAGAGGTCATTCTGCCTGGGGAGGGGCCAGGAGGGGGCTCCTCAGCCCGGGAGTAGGAGTGCTTGGCGCTGGTTCCCTGGGGCTGGGAAGGGTCAGAAAGCAGAGGGCCTGCATGGCAGAGTGTGAGTCCCCTTTGGGCTGGAAAGGTGGCACTACAGAAGTGACTGGTGTGAGCCAGGTGGTGGAGGATGGTGAGGGAGTGGGAGGCTGGAGGTGGCAGCCTGGCCTTATCTGGGCTGGGCCCCCGTACACATGTCTGTCTTGGCCTTCCTGATCCTCAAACAGCTGGGCTCCTCACATCTGCCCACTAAAGAGCTTGATTAGAGGGTTATGTTGGCAGATGGTCCTGTGTGCCTCCCAAATAGCTCCCTCACCCAACAAGCTACCTTACCTACAATTTCACCATTTGACGTTCATTTCTTTGAGCTTAATATTTTAAAGGGCATCTTGCTGAAGTCCTTACTCTACCTGCACACACTTCTGGGAGGTGAGGGCCTGGTGGAACCTTGCTGCTCCAGCTGTGGCCTGTGGACACGGCATCAGCATCACCTGGGGCTCGTTAGAAAGGCAGACTCTTCTGGCCCATCCCAGAACTCCTGAATCAGGATGTGTGTCTGACAAGATCCTTGAGTGATTTGTGTGCTCAGTAAAGTTTGTGAAGCCCTGGTCCACAGTACCTTCTAGGGAATGAGCATTTCACAACCTCTTGGAGCTGAAGGAGTGTCACCTAGGGCAGTGGATAAGAACGTGGGTTTGAGAACGCGACGGGAACTGCTTTTCCTGGACAGTCGTGGTAGGGTTGGGTAACAGTTCACCGCTGGCCCCTTGGGGCCATCCCCTGCTAATGCCAGGAAGTGTCTGTGTTTGGGGGATCTTAAAACAGATTCAAGTAGAGCTCAGGCCTCCGTGCAGTTAAAACGGTGCTGTGTGTCCTGCGTATGGGCTGGTAGCAAGTGGGCACAGGGCAGGGTTTCTGGAAGCTGGATATACTGCTCTTTCTCTAGATGGTCAGGGGCTGGGTAGGGGCCGTCCCTCAAAGAGAAGGCGTTGAGTAACTGTCCTCCGCTTCATCTGTCTCCCCCAGATGGTGGAGTGCCCCATTGATCACACTGCTCATCGGCCACAGGACTTACGCAGAGGGAGCTGCATAAATGCTAATTTGGGATAGCCCACGGAGGGGACGGTACTGCCCAGGCTCTATTCCTACCCCCAGCCCGGGGTTGGACATTCCACTTCTGCTGCCCTGGGGCCGTGGGAGACCCTGCGCCCCAAGACACGAGGATGATGCCAGCGCATGGTGGCTACTTACCCCCTTGGTCTTTTGAAGGAATAATGGCGACCCAGAAGCCATCAAGGTGGCCTGAGAGTAGACTTTGGAAGATTTGGCCCAGAGGCCTGGTGAGGCTGGTGGTGTCATGGGTGAAAAGTCATGGCATGTGCCCCAGCCCTGTCAAAAGAGGACTGTCCTTCTCCTGAGCTGGCCTCCTGGCCAGGAAGATGGGCAGTCCTTCCAGGGTGCAGAGTGGTGAGGGAGTGGTGTGGGTCAGCACGGGCATGGGCCTGACCAACAGTGACGCTGATGTGAACCATTCCTTCATTCAGGAATTCAACCACAGCTAGATGAAGAAAAGACTATTTTCGTGAACCCTGAGGTTTTAAAAAAATGTACTGTTTTAAAATACAAAGATGTTTTTAAAAATTGCCCGAATTGCCTTTGAATTCCTTGGTTTCAAGCAATGATAGTGTTTTGTTGTTTTTTTTTTTTGAGCTTCGATTAGAGTTTTTTCTTGGCACCAGGACAATCCTCATGTGGTTCATAGGTGAGCAAGGCCATTCTCAAGGTAGAATCTGCTGGATGGGCTATGCAGGATGGGAGTGTTTTGCCTCCCGTGGGAAAGAAGTGGGGATCGGAAGGGGTTTTGCTGTGCTCCAGCCTCATGCACTTATGTGCGTATTACTGACACTGCTTGGGGGTCCCCGGCCCTGGGAAGCCTTCACTGACTCCTCTCCAGCCTGTGCCTCCCTCCCTCCCTCACCTCCTTCCCTGGAGCTTTTTACTACCCCGCGGGGGTCTGACCCCTCAACCGGACAGTGAGCTCCTGTGGCCTAGGCTGTATCTTACTCCTCCTTCAATCCTCAGGGCCCCCCTCGCTGGTAGACTTGGGGCTCATTGACCGAATGGGCGATTGCCAGGTGATTGTTCCACTGCCTTCTCTAGCCCCATTGTTAACTGATCATTAACACAGTGGGCATGTGGTGTGCCCGTAACCAGTCTTCACTCTTCCTGTTGGTCACTTTCAAGACTGGGCGGCTTTGCCTGTCTTGCTGTGTTTTGGGTTCCGGGCATATATCCTTGGAATGGAGGTCTCAAACCCACGTGCCTGTGGGGGCTGGGAGGCAGACAAAAGAGAACCACAGTGCCAAATGCAGCCTGACAGGGCGTTGTAGAGGCTATGAGAACAGAAGAGCCCAGGCCCCCTAGGAAAGGGGCCACTGTGGGCAGAACCCACCTCTGTGACGGAAGTCAGGATCCCGGTTGCCCTGGGGTGTCATGACTAGGAGTCACAGTGTGCTTCTGGAGTGCTGGAAATGTCTGTATCTTGAGCTGAATATCTACAACACTGGTGACTGATCATTTGGGCAGGAGAGTCAATTCAGAAAAATTGGAGCATTTATGGGCAGATTTATTTTGGTTCAATATGAAAATAGCCTTATTGAATCCCATAGGGCAAAAAATGCATATTGTTAGCAACTTTATTGACCAGAAGGGTGTCTGTGAGAAACTCGGCATATTTAAGAAGTAGCCACATGGAGACAGCGTTCTAGTCTTTCACGGTGAAATGTAATCCGGACCTGTCATGGGGAATGGGGCCAGCCGCCGCTCCTCCTTGCTGGTCTGTATATTTGGGTCTTGGCGTTGGTGTTCCTGAGGCGTGGTCTCGCATCAGCAGTGAATGTCCGTGTGGCTCAGTGTTTTGCCAAGGGAAGTGGGGATAGCAGACACCGTCTTCAGCCTCAGGGGCCTCAAGCTGTGTCACTAAGGGGAACATGGCAGGGGAACGATATTAAGCATTCATATTTTGTACGTTTCCTTTGCATAGTCTAAAACCTGTGCAAGTGTTGGTTATTATTATAACTGTAAAGCTGTTCCCTTCCTAATTTTTGTAAGGCAGCTCGGGGGCAGACAGAGCTGGGATTTTACACCAGTGTGTCCCCTCTTGAGCTCTGAAGCCTTGGTCTGCCATGTAGCTTTGCCCGGGCCTTAGTTTTCCCATCTGGTAAATGGGAATACTTTTCAATTACCTTGTAGGCTTGCTCTCAACATGACTAAGAAGAAAATTGGGTAGAAAGCCTTTTGTGCGGTGCCTGGCACAGAGCACACATGCAAAATGTAGTAGCTTGTATTATCCCTGTTGATTTAGTCATGTGTGAGGCACACTGTATTCTAGCCAAGAGGTGAAACCTCCCCTTATTTTGAGAGCTTGACAATCTGTAAGTTCATAAATTGAATTCTGCCTGAAGGGGTGTATGCGCGTGTGGTTGTGATTTTTAATTTTGAATTAGTTAGTAACAACATTAAAACAACAGCATTTCTGCATAAAAACCTAGATTTCTGGCATCTCTCACGGGTGCTGGCAACGGTGGGTCTGTGT